ATGATATATTTTATCTTCATTTTCTGATGTCCTGTCTTCTAAGTGGTATACTCTGTTGGTGACACTCTCGTTTGAATTTTTAATTTAATTGAATTTTAATTTGGTTTATTATTTCTTTCATTTCAAGGATTTCTGTTTTTTTTTTTTTTTTTTTTTTGTTGAGGTGATCTTTTGCTTCTTGGATATATTTATGTATCTCATTGTCAGAGTGATCTTTCACTGCCTGTATTTGTTCTCTTATGTCTTCTTTGACATCCCAAAAAATTTTAATCATGTATATCCTTAAATCTTTGTCTGTACTTTTTTCTGCTGTAGCTGTCAATTCTTCTAATGATGTGTTGCGTTGAATTTTTTGTGGTGCTTTCTTCCCTTGTCTTTTCATGTTGCTTGCATTTCTTTCTTTCCAGCTCTGTGGGACTGGTGTGTTATTGTTTTTACCCTATAGATTTGTAGTGCTCTTGTATGATTCCAAGAATCTCTCCTTTGTGGGGAAGGACAAAGTTAACATATCCCAATATCAATAATATGCCACCTATAAATAAATTATTGGTATTAAGACATTTATAGTTAGTCTCCATGTCCAGAAATGTTGGATTCAATTATTATTTAAAATATAATCAGTAGTTTCATAAAAGGTGTATAGTTTCTGGTGGCAGACAGTGAACTGGGGGTCATGCATAGGATGATATGCTAAGGGGGAAAGATGTGAGGGTATGGGGTTAATGTAACTAAGGACATTTGGAGGAGAACTCTAATGAAGAGGGTTAGTAGCAGGGGAATAGATAGAAGGTAATTTAGGGTAGACAAATACATGGGAGGACAGTAGAGTACATAAAACCAAACACAAATGTATTTAAAAATTACAGGATGTAAAAATAGTAAAATTTGGAGGCTGAAAGAAGAAGAAAGAGAAGAAGAAAAAAGGGAAAGAAAGAAAGAGAAAAAAGAGAGAGAAATTAAGGGGGGAGGTTATACAATTCTTCTATATTATATTATTCAGGTGACTCAGTTTTCAAAGTTCTATTTCATGTAAAGTTATTAGTTTCACATATGTTGGGATTGTGAGGGCCAGAGGATAGAAGGGTAGAGGAGAAAGAAAAAGGATAATAAGGAAAAAAATATATACTCTTTAGAATTTCATTTCTTTCCTGCTTCTCTTCTCTTCCAGTAGGTGGAGTTGTCTGTTTTAAGCTTGAGTCTCTGCCCTCAGGATGGTGTGGTAACCAGGGTGAAAAGACTTGAGCTCCTGGTATCATTTCCCTCTCTTGCCTGGAGCTTCCCTGATCCTGGTCTCTGTGTTTTGCTCCAGGTTTTAGACCCCTCCCCTCTCTTGCTTATCAGGTCTAAACTGTGGAACCTCTAACCCTCAGCTTGCACCAGATGGGCAGTGCCCTAGTTGCACTGTGTTCCTGTTCAACTGAGAGCTGTTTTGGGGCTGGGTAGTCACTGTGCTGAGTTATCGCAACTGGGGGGAGAGGGAGTTGGAAACCAGGTGCCTGTTCAGTCAGAGATCTGCCCTGATAGCCACGCCCACCAAAAAAATGGGGAGAAAGGTTTTCCAAGATGGAATTCGTCTGCTTCTAGCGCCAGGGTGTCTGGTGAGTTGCGGGGAGCTGGGATATCCTTGTGCTGTGGCTAGAATGCAGTCAAGTTACCTGCATTGGAGTGGAGCACAGTCTGTAGTTCTGTAGTTCTGCAGAGGTGCTGATTTGATGATTCTGCTAGGTCTCTTGAGAGGTGTGTGTTTGTGTGTGTGTGAGTGCTAGAACTGCGCTTTGGGTCTGGAGTCCAGAGTCTTATTGGAACAAAGAGGCTCTGATTTCTGCAAGGGTGTTTGCAATGCTGGTGGTTTCTGCAAAAATCCACTGTATTGGGGTCCTGTCGCATGCTCTGAGATGTTGTATTCTGTCTAGGTGAGATCTTGTGGAAATGCTGCCTGACTGCTTTCTTGGATTCCTGCCACAGAGCAGCCAGAAACAGTACCTCTTCTATTCCTCCATCTTGCATCCTCACAATTATATATTTTGTATTCATTGTCTGAGGTTCTGTTTTCCAAGTGATCTAGTCTTTTGGTGATGCTTTCTATTGATATTTAATTTGGTTTATTGTTTCCTTCATTTCAAGGACTTCTGTTTGTTTTTTACCAGAATCTCTATCTCTTTATTGAAGCAATCTTTTGCTTCCTGTATTTGCTAACATAGTTCTTTATCAAAGTGATCTTTTGTTGCCTGTTTTCTTTCTTATCATCCTTTACTTCACAGAACATTTAAATATGTACATCCTGAACTCCTTCTCTGACATTTTTCTATTATGCTGGCAATGAATTCTAATAATGGAGTATCTTGGTTTTTTGGGGGCACTTTATTCCCTTGTTTTTTCATGTTGTTTTGTGTCTTCACCTCTAGCCGTGTGGAGCCAAGGTATTACAGTTTTTACCCTATAGACTTATAGTGTCTCTGCAAATTTCCTATACCACTTCTTTAGGGGGCAGATCAATATTAACAGATCCCAATGCAAACAATATGCAGCCTTAAACCAAATAGTTCCTATTAAGACATTTACAATTTTATCACAATAAACATAAATGGTATGTTTAATTATTATCCTGTTATAAATAGTGGGTTTGTGATAGGGTCTACAGTTTCTAATGGTGGACAAAGAGAGATGGGGTTGTTGTAGGATGAGATGTTAAGGAGGTGAAGATGAGGATATAGAGGTATTAGATATTAGGAAATGTTGTAGGCTGCAATCAAGTCAAGATGGTGCCTGGCAGTTTGCCAGGAGGAGTGGTTTGTGAGGCAACGCCACTGAGCCATCAAGATGGTGGGGACTCCTTATTGGCTGATTGCTGTATCTGTAGGGGAGCAATGCTATGATTGGATGATGCTGATTGAGTCAAGCTGTATGTAATCAGTTAGATATATATACCTCTGCTGTTCCGCAATAAAGCAGTTCCCGCTTCAACCTTCAAGTTGCTTGTCACCTCCCAGTTATTTTGCCCAGCTGGAATACGGCAAGGAAACATGAGAGAGGAATCAAAAAGAAGTTGGCTTATAGCAAGAGAAAATAGAGGAAGAGACTCTGAGGAGACAGATAAGTAGGAAGAAATATATATATATATATATATATATATAGAGAGAGAGAGAGAGAGAGAGAGAGAACAAAAATTAATAAGAAAAAATGTAAAAACAATAGATAAAAGAATATACAACAAAACTGTAATGTACTATTCAGACATCCCAGTCCTCAGTAGCCTAATTCATGAAAAGTATTTGGTTTCACAAATGTCAGGGATATGAGGGTGGAAGAAGAGAGCAAAAATTTCAAAGGAAATTTGAATGATTGTTTCTGTTGGAGTTTAGTATCTTTCCTGCTTCCCTTTTTATACAGTACATGGGGTTGTTTGTTGTTTGCTGGTATCTCCACCCCCAGGATGGTGAAGGTTATTAGTGTGGGAGGATTGTTCTTGGAGGCAGAACTCCTGGAGGTGGGTATAGCCCTTGCAGGAAACATGAGAGAGGAATCAAAAAGAAGTTGGCTTATCTGCAAGTGCTATCTGGGTTTGTGGCGAGGGGGATGGGGTAGGAGACTATAAGGATCTTAGTATTGCTTCTAGGCCCCAGCTAGTGTCCCAAGATGGGAATTGCACCAACTAAAGATGGTGATGGAGATGGCGGGAGCATCGCCCAAGATGCCCAAGATGGTGGCAAAGATGTCCCAAGATGAAGGTGACCACTTTCAGAGATGGGGCAGCAAGTGTGTCCATGTGATGGCATTGGGTGGAGTGTCTGGAGATGCAGTGCTGTGACAGGCAGTGCTATGGTGGGAAGCTGTCTCCAGACCCTGTCTGGTGTCCCCAGGTGCAGGCTACCATGTGGAGGGGACTGTGGCAGTGGTTGCAGTGTCCCAAGATGGAGGTGGCCAGGGGAACCCCACATTGGTAGATGGGGAGCCGGTGCACAGGTGTGGGCATGGGTCCTGCCGATACAAAAATTCTCAATAAAATTATAGTGAATTGCATACAAAAACAAATTAAAAATATAGTGCACTATGATCAAATGGGGTTCATCCCAGGGATGCAATATTGGTTCAATATATAGAAATAAATAAATGTAATTCATCATGTCAACACTCTTAAATAAGATAATCATATGATTATCTCAATAGATGCAGGAGAAGTATTTGACAAAATTCAGCATCCATTCATTCATGTTCAAAACACTAGAAAAACTAGTGGGTAGTAGGAACATACCTCAACATTGTAAAAGCTACATATTGTAAATTCAAGGCCAGCATCATTCTAAATGGAGAATAATTGAAAGCATTCCCTGTAAAAACTGGAACAAGGCAAGGATGTCCTCTTTCACCACTTCTATTCAATATCATTCTTGAAACTCTAGCCAGAGCAATTAGACAGAAGAAAGAAATCAAAAGAATACAAATAGGTAAAGAAAATTCAAACTATCACTATTTGCTGATGACATGATTCTATACCTAGAAGATCCAAAAAATTCTACCAGAAAACTTCTAGAACTAATGAATGAATTCATCAAGTAGCAGGGTATAAAAACTACACCCATAAATTGTAGGGCATGACTTGCTGCCCGCTTCCCGGTCTTGGGGCTGCACATGTGGCTGGGATGGCGCCTGGCAATCAGCCCGGAGGCGGTACTGTGGGTGGTGATGGAAAAAAACAGACCACCTCCAGGAGAGGTACAGGACTCTTCCGCCCTCGTGGACAGCTTCTGCCTTCCCTTACAGACCATGGGATGGGTGTACACATGAAAACTTGCTTCACCCCTCTGACCTTTATCCTGATTGGCTCCTGCACATTATATTAGCTGTGTGTACTTCCTCAATAAATGAGATCCTGCTTTGACTCCACTCCCTGGAACATCTGATTGTCCACCCGTGAGGAAGGGCTGAGTGTGGGCGGCCAGTTGACCTTTGCCTTTCTTGGCTCATCTGGTCGGGGCATGCTTTCCCCATCTCTCCTGCAGGTCAAGAGGAAACGGAGGGCTAAAACCCCTGACATCTGGCACCCGAACAGGGACACAGAACAGGGACATGGAACAGGGACCCAGAACAGGAACATGAAGAAGTCGGTTCACCAAGAGTGAAAGTATCTGCGAGCCAAGCCAAGCGAGTTCCAAGGTAAGGGTATCCCTGGAAAGATGGGGCAATCTTACACTAAGTAGGATGGCCCAGATTGGGAAACTATTGTTAAGGAGTGACTTGGGTCACAGCAGGTCAGTCCTCTCGTTGTCCAGGAGGAGAAAGATTTAAAACCTCACTCTGACAGTAGCCTCCTAGACCCTTTTGATCCCTGGCCTGGTTCTCTGGGTTCCATACCAAGTGCCCCTGTCCCGGAACACATGGTAGAGAGTCAGGATGGGGAGCGGCCTTTGCCATATTATCACCCCTCCCCCCATGGAAATTCTCCGCCCTCTTGTGCAAACCCGGAAAAGCCAGTTAAGCCACCATCTTGTATGGCTTTCCTGGTAAATGCTAACCCTGGGGCCAATAGACCAGACTTATGGTATCCCTGGGAGGCCCAAGATTTGAAAGAACTCAAAAAGGCCGTCTCTGAGGATGGACCTAATTCGTCCTGGGCCAAAACCATCCTCCAGGTCTGGACCACCAACAGTGTACCACGCAAGACTGGAAAAAGTTAACCAAGGCCGTGCTTCCTGGTCCCCTGTATCTGAAATGGTGTGCTTTTTTTTTAATGAGGAGTGCCACGCTCAGGCTGGGAGGAATCAGTCTGTTAATGCCCCGGTTCCTGTAACTTATGGGATGCTGTTGGGGTCCAGTGATCAGTTTTCCACAGGCCTTCAGCAGGCTGTTATCCCTGCCCCTATCAGGAGCAGGTATGGGCTTTGGGGCTGGCGGCATGGAAAAAGTTGGAGGAAGGCCCCTCAGAGCCCCCAGTAGCAGGAATTACTCAGAGGACTACCAAGGATCTTGCCACATTCATTGAGAGGGTGAAAAAGAGCCTCCAAAGGAAATTCCCCCCAGAGCCCCTTCAGGACAAGTTTGTCAAGATGCTGGTCTGGGAGGGGATGACCACAGACCACAAACTAGCCTGTGCAGGGATGAAGGACAGATGTATGGGGAGGTGGATAGTGGCCACTAAGGATGTCGGTACTCAAACCCACCAATCACAGTCATTGGTCGTGGCCTTGCAGGCCCAAAAAGCTTCACTTGCTGAGGCCCTTACTACTGCCTGCGCCTCTTCCAGTGGCACTGGGAAAGGTTTTTTTATTTTTTTATGGATTTGATTAACAGGGCCACTTCAAAAGAGAGTGCCCTACAGGACGAATAAGACCCTGTGCCCCACAGGGACGTCCCTCAGGCCAGACTAAGAAGCAAACTCTGCCTAAGATGCCTTGCCCCCGTGTAGAAAGGGATTCCATTGGTGGAGGGATTGTAAGTCCAAATTTGGTATTGAGGGGAAGCCTTTAAACTAATAATGGGGCGCCCTCCATCCCCTTCACCCAAAGGAGGCACTCCGCCTAGTGGTCCACCTAGGGCCCACTGGACAGTCCCAATAATCCCGGAAATTAGGCCAAAAATGGATATCTTCATAGCAGGGAAAAAGTTCTGCTGCTTGATTGACACTGGAGCGGATCGGGCAGTATTAAGGAAAGAGGAGGTTCCCCCACAGTGGAAGCTGATTCCCAGACCTCAGTTATTGGGGGTAGGGGGTGATACAAGGTCTGAAGAAACCAAGGATTGGCTTACTTGCAAGGATGTAGGTGGTAGTCAGGGAGACATATGTCCTCTGGTGGCATCAGCCTGACAGCTAAGCTGCTGGGACAGGATATTTTGGGGGAAACTGAGGTGTTCATCACTACAGATCACAAAGGGATATATGATGATATCCTAGAGGAAGAGGAGTACCAGCAACAGTTTGGCCTATCAGGTTCCCTTAGCAGTTACCGGGGGATTCACTTTTTGAGACATCGAGGCAGAACACTCCTGCACTCAGTGTGAGGCCTCATCCCTCAATCATAGAGGCCGCTGTTCCCACCATTCAATGGCTTCCAGGCCCTCTAGTGTGGGTGGAACAGTGGCCACTTCCCCTAGATAAACTACAAAATCTAAAGGAGATAATATCAGAACAATTGACCCTAGGGCATATTAGGCCCTCCCTGAGCCCTTGTAATAGTCCTGGACTGACATAAAAAAGGCCACAGGGAAATGGAGAATGTTACAGGACCTAAGAAAGATTAATGAGCAGATGATTCCCATTGTCATCCCCTTGCGAGGGCTACCCTGGATCCCCTCCATCTCTCGGTATTTGACTCTCATTGTGATTGATATCAAGGATTGCTTCTTTTCTATTCCCCTTGATCCCCAGGACTGTGAGAAGTTTGCCTTCTCCATTCCCTCTGTTAACTTCCAGGGCCCAGACCAAAGATATGAGTGGGTGGTGTTACCCCAGGGCATGGCTAACAGTCCAGCTTTTTGTCAACATTATGTTTCACAAGTCCTGCAACCCCTTTGGAGGCGATGGGACATAATTCTATATGTTCACATGGATGACATCATTATTGGGGCGGCCGACACCAAAGTGTTAGGCTCCACCTATAAGGAACTCCAGACTCTCTTACAAAAGGGAACATTACATATATCTAATGACAAGGTCCAGACCTTACCCCATTTTAAAATTCTAGGGGTCAAACTTAAGTTGGACTCTGTCTGTCCCCTTAAGCCTCAATTATTTTTCCAGTCGTCCTACATCTTGGTGGAATTACAAAAACTGTTGGGCGAACTCAACTGGTTAAGGCCTTGGCTTCACCTGCCTACAGAAGACCTGCGTCCACTTTTCGAGTCTTTAAGAGATAAAGTCCCCACAGATGTCATCACAATGACTCCATCACATCAATTGATATTCCAAAAGATTCAGTCAGCCTTAAAAGCGGCACAATTGGCTCCCTATAGGCCCCAATGCCCCCTCTGTCTTTGAATCCTCCCCTCCCCAGTTAGGCGAGCCCCTTCAATGGATACATGCATCTGTGGGAGGGGCCCCTAGGTTTCTATTCCCAACTTGACCAGTTGGCTGACCTGATAGTTAAGGGTAGGGATATTTCCCTGAGACATTATGGGTGCAATCCTGATGTGCTAGTAGTCCCCTACTGGCTGTCAGACTTTTGAGTGGGTCAGAAGAAACCATAGTCAGGTATCCAATGCCTTGGAGGGTTTCATGGGAAAGGTGGATTGTCATTATGGTACTTTGAGATGGGTGACATCATTCTTGAAGTTACAATGGACTGCCCCACCATACTTTTTTCCACCAGATCCCTCATTAAAGTGGTAAATATCTTTACTGATGGGGGAAAAGCAGGATCTTTCGCAGATCATTCCCCTGCCAATGAAAGGTACTTACCCACTATTTTGAGCCAGTTACGGGATCTGCACAATTTAAGGAACTATATGCAGTTGCCCTGGCCTTAACCCATGTCCATGGACCAATGAACTTGTTTTCTGACAGCCTATATGCAGTCAACTTGTTACCAACTCTAGTGTCAGCATATATTAACTTGGACAAAAACCCAATTACTTCTCTAATGATTCAAGTCCGATCCTTGTTGAAAGAGCAGGCTGAACCCATTTTTGTGCAGCATCTCAGGGGACACCAAGAGTTACCTGGAATCTTGACATGGGGGAACCAAATGGCTGATTGATTGGCTACCAATGGGACTATCATAGCTACTGCTCAGTCTCAACAGAACCTTCAGATGGCTCAAGGACTTCATGATCTTACTCACTTAAACTGGAGAGGGTTACATCAAAGATTCCCCCTGATTCCCATAAAAGATTTTAAAAAGATCATAAGGACATGTAAATCATGTATGCTGTTTTTACAGGTCCCACCTCTTCAATCCCTGAGGGGTCAACCCCAGGGGCCTCAGACCTAATGTCATCTAGCAAACTGATGTGACCCACTATGCATCTTTTGGAAAATTAAAATCTCTATATTTATGTCTATAGATACCTATTCACATGCTTGTTGGGCAACTGCTCAGTTGGGTGAAAAAGCTCAACACGCTGAAAGCCATTTCCTACAATGTTTTGCCATTTTGGGATTACCCTTACAGATTAAGACAGAATGGGCCCTGCTTTGTGAGCAAATCATTACAAGAATTCTTCCAAACTTGGAATATTAAACACACAACTGGAATACCATACAATCCAAAAGGTCAAGCTATAATTGAGAGGCATATAAGACCTTGAAGGACCAACTAATAAAACAAAAAGGGGGAAGCAACCCCCCATGACCAATTAAGGACAGCCATGCTTACATTAAATATTTTAATTTTTTCCAAAGACCAACCTGTAACTGCTTTCCAGAAACATTGGTCTAATCAGACACCTTATGTGAAGGTAGAGGTCCGATGGAGGGACACTCTTACTGGATCATGGCGCGGTCCTGATCCCCTCATTAGTGTAGGGAGGGGATTTGGGTGTATATTCCCAATTGGGGAGCCAAGTCCAATTTGGGTACCCACTAGAGATCTAAAATACTGTTCACCAGAACAAAAATGATTACCCAAGAGTACCCTCTCTTGAGGTATGATTTTTTATTTTCTCATTTGTAGGAATGAAAAGACCATTCTGGACGCTTTGCCTGGTTGTGACCACAGTCCTCATTGTCTCCCTCATGGCATTCATCATGGCCACGGGGATGAGAACTGGACTTGCTGGCCTCAGTACTTCTTTATAGATATACAATAATGCACCAAGTTGCCAGCACTATCTTGGACCTGCAATCTTAACTCGATTCCTTGGCTGCGGTAGTCCTCCAAAACCATCACAGCTTAGACCAGCTTACTGCCCAAGAAGGAGGACTATGTCTGTTCCTACAGGAGGAGTGCTGTTTCTATGGAATGGGCTCCTCCAGTTTCTCAAGGATCAAGCCAGAGCTGTTCAACTGATAGTGGTCCGGCAGCAATATATCATCTTACAAGATACTGACTGTGAACCCTATGAGTTTGGCCACGGCCCCTACCAGGATGTGCAGATATAAGCCAGGAGCAGAAAGGTTTCCTTCCTAGGCAATAGCCATCTCCTTCCTTGAAGCTTCCCATTGGGCCTGCAGGCCCTGCAGGTAGGATTACCCGAAGAGCTAGAGTGGTAGTCAGTGATGGGTAAGATCCCCAGAAGGGGACAACCTAAGACAGGCACACTCTCGAATAAGGCAAACACCTGCTAATAAAACGAAAAGGGGGAGATGTAGGGCATGACTTGCTGCCCGCTTCCCAGTCTTGGGGCCGAACATGTGGCTGGGATGGTGCCTGGCGATCAGCCAGGAGGTGGTGCTGTGGGTGGTGATGGAAAAAACAGACCACCTCCAGGATAGGTCCAGGACTCTTCCACCCTCATGGACAGCTCATGCCTTCCCTTACAGACCTTGGGATGGGTGTACATGTGAACTCGCTCCACCCCTCTGACCTTTATCCTGATTGGCTCCTGCGCATTATATTAGCTGTGTGTACTTCCTCAATAAATGAGATCCTGCTTTGACTGGTCTCCCTGGCATGTCTGATTGTCCTCTAGCGAGGGAAGGCTGGGTGCGGGCGGCCAGTCGACCTTTGCCTTTCTTGGCTCGTCCTGGTCAGGGTGTGCTTTCCTCATCTCTCCTGCAGGTCAGGAGGAAACAGGGGGCTAAAAACCCTGACAATAAATCAAATGCATTCCTGTATATCAGTGATTAATCAACTTAAAGAGAAATTAGGAAAACTATCCCATTCACAATAGCCTCAAATAAAATAAAATACCTGAAAATCAATCTTACAAAAGTGGTGAAAGACCTCTACAGTGAAAACTACAGAACATTAAAAAAAGAAATTGAAGAAAACCTCGAAGATGCAAAGATCTCCCATGCTCTTGAATAGGCATAATAAATATTGTCAAAGTAGCCATACTATCAAAAGCATTATATAGATTTAATGCAATTCCTATTAAAACACCAATGACATTTTTTTATAGAAATAGAAAAAACAATCATGAAATTTATTTGGGAAAAAATAAGAGACCTAGAATAGCCAAAGTAATCCTTAGCAAGAAAAGTGAAACAGGAAATGTCACAATACCAGAACTTAAATTATACTACAGTATAGTATAGTGACAAAAATTTCATGGTATTGGCACAAAAATATACATGTAGACTAATGGTACAGAATAGAGGATGCAGAGAGAAACCCACATAAATACAGCTTTCTCATACTAGACAAAGTTGCCAAAAATATTCACTGGAAAAAAGGTAGCCTCTTCAACAAATGGTGCTGGCAAAATTGGAAATTCACATGTAACAAAGTGAAATTAAACCTCTATCTCTCACCCTGCACAAAAATCAACTCCAAGTGGATCAAATACTTAGACACTAGAACAGAGACTCTGTGCCTAATAGAAGAAAAAGTAGGCCCAAATCTTCACCATGTTGTCCTAGCATCTGACTTCCTTAACAAGACCCCTAAAGTGCAAGAAATAAAATCAAGGATCAATAAATGGGATGGATTCAAATTAAAAAGCTTCTTCTTAGCAAAGGAAACAATCAATAATGTTTGAAGATTGGGAGAAAATCTTTACCACCTCCAATAGAGCATTAATCTGTAGAATATATAAAGAACTCAAGAAATTTAACACCAAAAAAGCAAAACAAAACCAAATAACCAATCAATAAATGGCCTAAGGAACTGAACCAACACTTCAGAGAAGAAGATATACAATCTATCAACAAATATATGAAAAAGTGTTCAAAATATTTGGCAATTACAGAAATGCAAATCAAAACTACACTAAGATTTTATCTCACTCCTGTCAGAATGGCAATCATCAAGAATACAGGCAACAATTAATGTTGGCAAGGATGTGGGGGGAAAGGTACATTCGTACATTGCTGGTGGGACTGCAAATTGGTGCAACCACTATGGAAAGCAGTATGGAGATTCCTCAGAAAAATGGGAATGAAACCACCATTTGACCCAGTTATCCTTCTCCTTGGTTTATACCCAAAGAACTTAAAATCAGCATACTACAGTAATGCAGCCACATCAATGTTTGTAGCAGCTCAATTCACAATAGCTAAACTATGGAACTAACCTAGATGTCCTTCAATAGATGCATTGATAAGGAAAATATGGCATATATACACAATGGAATATGACTCAGCTTTAAAGAAGAATGAATTATTGAATTTGCCAGTAAATGGATGGACTTAGAAAACCGATGCTAAGCAAAATAAGCCAGTCCCTAAAAACCAAAGGCTAAATGTTTTCTCTACTAAGATGATAAGCAGATGCTAATTCACAAAAAGCGGGGCAGGACACTAGAGATGAATAGCATTACCTTAGATTAGGTAGAGGAAAGGGAAGTGAGGGGAGGGGAGGGGATGTGGGGATAGGAAAATAGAAAAATGAAACAGACATTATTACTTTATGTATATATGTTACTGCATTACCACTATGATTCTACAACATGTACACTTAAAAAATGAGAAATTATATCCCATCTATATGTATGATACATCAAAGTGCATAAATGCATCCTATTGTCATGTGTAACTAATTAAAACAAATTAAAAATTAAAAAACAAAAAAAATTATATATATGTGTCTTCAGTCACATTAGAAGAGGAGTTAAAAACAGAAACTACAATAATACTGGATTTTACTTCAGGTTTGAAGATGAAATAAAAAACTTCCACAATAAACAAAAGTTAAAAGAATTTGCAGCTAGAAAACTGGTGCTTCAAAACATCCTTAGAAAAACATAACATGAAGAGGAAATGAAAAATAACTATGAAAATCAACAGTAGGAGGTAGTACAGTAAAGGAAAATCTAATCAAAGAGGGAAAACAAATCTAGTTAAATAACAAAAATAAACAAATATGGCTGGAAATACAAACCAATACCCTAAATGTTAGTGGATTAAACTCACCATTCAAAAGACATAGACAAGTAGACTGGATTAAAAAAAAAGATCCAACAATATGCTGCCTACAGTAGACTCATCTGATAGGAAAAGACATATCCAGACTAAAGGTGAAAGGTTGGGAAAAATCATACCACTCACATGGACCTCAGAAACAAGAAGGGGTGTCCATACGCATATCAAATAAAATAGACTTCAAGCCAAAGTTAATCAAAAGGGATAAAGAAGGACACTACATACTTCTCAAGGGAACCATTCACCAACAAGACATAATCATTAATATATATGCCCCAAACAAAGGTACAGCTATATTCATCAAACAAACTCTTCTCAAGTTCAAGAGTCAAATGGACCACAACACAATAATCATGGGTTATTTTAATACATCTCTCTCACCACTGGACAGATCTTCCAAACAAAAGTTGAATAAAGAAACTATAGAACTCAATAACACAATTAATAACTTAGACTTAATTGAAATTTATAGAAAATATCAACCAACATCAAGCGGATACTCTTTTTTCTCAACAGCACATGGATCCTTCTCAAAAATAGACCATATATTATGCCACAGGGCAAATCTGAGCAAATACAAAGGATAGAGATACTACCATGCATTTTATCTGATCATAATGGAATGAAATTGGAAATCAACGATAAAATAAGAAAGAAAAATTCCTACATCACATGGAGAATGAACAATATGCTACTGAATGAATAATGGGTTACAGAAGACATCAAGGTGGAAATTAAAAAAATTCTTAGAGGTAAATGAAAACACAGACACAACATATCAAAATCTCTGGGACACTATGAAAACAGTACTAAGAGGAAAATTCATTGCTTGGAGTTCATTCCTTAAAAGAAGAAAAAGCCAACAAATAAACGACCTCACACTACATCTCAAAGTCCTAGAAAAAGAAGAACAAATCAACAACAAATGCAGTAGAAGGCAAGAAATAATTAAAATCAGAGCTGAAATCAATGAAATCGAAACAAAAGAAACAATTGAAAAAATTGACAAAACTAAATTGGTTCTTTGAAAAAATAAAAAAGATTGATAGACCCTTAACCATGCTAATGAAAAGAAGAAGAGAGAGAACCCAAATTACTAGCATGCAGGAAGAAAAAGGCAATATCACAACAGACACTACAGAAATACAGAAGATAATTAGAAATTATTTTGAAACCTTATACTCTAATAAAATAGAAGATAGTGAAGGCATCAATAAATTCCTTAAGTCATATGATCTGTTCAGGTGGAGTGAGGAAGATATATACTACTTAAACAGACCAATATCAAGTGAAGAAATAGAAGAAACCATCAAAATATTACCAACCAAGAAAAGCCCAGGACCCGACAGATATATAGCTGAGTTCTACAAGACCTTTAAAGAAGAACTAATACCAATACTCTGCAATCTATTTCAGGAAATAGAAAAAGAGGGAGTACTTCCAAATTCATTCTACAAAGCCAATATCATCCTTATGTAATTAATTATGACAATTTTTTCAATTGTTTCTTTTGTTTCAATTTCATTGATTTCAACTCTGATTTTAATTATTTCTTGCCTTCTACTGCTTTTGCTGTTGACACCTCAAAGAAAGAAAACTTCAGACCAATATCTCTAATGAATATAGATGCAAAATCCTCAATAAGATTCTGGTAAATTGGATACAAAAATATCATGCACCATGATCAAGTGGGATTCATCCCTGGGATTCAAGGTTGGTTCAACATATGGAAATCAATAAATGTATTTCATCATATCAATAGACTTAAAGATAAGAACCATATGATCATCTCGATAGACACAGAAAAAGCATTTGACAAAATACAGCACTCCTTTATGTTCAAAACTCTAGAAAAACTAGGGATAACAGGAACTTACCTCAACATTGTAAAAGCTATCTACACTAAGCCTCAGGCCAGCATCATTCTAAATGGAGAAAAACAGAAGGCACTCCCTCTAAAATCTGGATCAAGACAGGGATGCCCTCTCTCATCACTTATTCAATATAGTTCTTGAAGCACTGGCCAGAGCAATTAGACAGATGAAAGAAATTAAAGGAATAACTATAGGAAAAGAAGAACTTAAACTAGCACTATTTGCTGATGATATGATTCTATACCTAGAAGACCCAAAAATCTCTACCAAGAAACTTTTAGAACTAATAAATGAATTCAGCAAAGTGGCAGGATATAAAATCAACACCCATAAATCAAAGGTATTCCTGTATATCAGTGACAAATCCTCTGAAAAGGAAATGAGGAAAACTACCCCATTCACAATATCCTCAAAAAAAAAAAAAATAAGATACTTGGGAATCAACAAAAGAGGTGAAACATCTATACAATGAAAACTATAGAACCCTAAAGAGAGAAATAGAAGAAGACCTTAGAATATGGAAAGATCTACCTTGCTCATGGGTAGGCAGAATTAATATTAATAAAATGACCATATTACCAAAAGCCCTATACAGGTTCAATGCAATTCTGATCAAAATCCCAATAGCATTCTTCACAGAAATAGAAAAAGCAATTATGGAATTCATTTGGAAAAATAAGAGACCCAGGCTAGCTAAAGCA